AATGCTTCTTGCCTTTTACTGCTTTTAAATACAGTGACCTTTACCGTTTTTAAGGACTACTTTGCAAAAAGAAAAAACCCAAAAGGGTAGCATTTTATTGAACCACAGCTTTTAGTGGTGACTTGTTTGTGAGTGTCTAATTGTCTATTTAAACAATTGCCTGCTAAGCAGAGCAGCTAGGCAGCAAGGATGGGGGGGGGGGTAGTAGACTTCAATTGGCCTGTATGAGAATACACCTGAGTGAAAAGCCAATTGCACTGTACTTCATCGTTACGAAGGAATACATTAAAACAACCTGTTGAACACCTACAAACAGATTGACAAACTGTTGAACTGATTGCTGAAGAATCATGTATCTGTTCACAGCCAAACCCCATTTTATCCACTCAGTAACACTTTGGAGGAGGTTAGGCTGAGAGAGAGTGACTGGCCCAAGGTCACCCAGTGAGCACCACAATAGAGTGGGGATTTGAACCAGAGTCTTCCAGAGTCTAGTCTGATATTCTGACCACTCTAACACTTCGGTCTTTGTATTACACACATTTTGCCTTGGATCAGCTGGTGCGCTTATTTATTTATTTATTTATTAAATTTATACCCCGCCCTACCCCAAGAAGCAGCCTCAGGGATGGCAGGATTTCTCATCATGTAGAATGATCCTCTCATCTCCCCATCCAACCCAAAGTGTGTTCCCAAATGGGGGGGGGATCCTTTGTCCCAGCATTTCATGGGGGGCTAGAGTGGGAGAGGGGAGATGAGAAAGTCATGTTCCAGGGATTCCAATCCTTATCTATTTCACTATGTAGACTTGTACTCCTTCAGCTGAAATGTGTAATTTATGCAAAATGTAATACCAATAGCAAAATCTTATAGGACATTACACACACATCCCCCCAAAAAGGTTTATAGGCATCAGATTTTTATCTTTGCTACAAACCTTGCATTATCTTCTTTTTTAGGAAAGTGTAAGGATGTTTTACTACCATACATGGCAAGCTTTTTTGAACAAACTGATGTGATTATTATGCAACTTGCCTGTACTTACCTGATAAACAACTTAATTCCTCTGGAACCTTGCATTTAAACCTACTTGTGTTGCAACTCATAATCTCTATGCCTGTATATAAGATGATATTTGCATATTATCTTTGAGAATTTACCACTTTAGGATATTTTGCATTTTAGAACCATGTCAAGTGTTGTAGAAGTGATCAGCCTAAATGAGGACTTGAGAATTGTTGTAGCTATTTAGATAAAGGAATTCTGGTGACTGTTAAATCACTGTATGCCTGAATGGCTTTCTGTTGGTTCCCAGCAAGATTAGCAGTGATCAGTGTAAAAGCCTGCCTTGCCCCCCTTTGATCCCGTAGTATTCTTAAGAAAAGCCTTCACGTCTCCAATAAACATTAGTACCATTTATCAAACTCATTGAGCATTTATTTGTGGGGATTTCAATCTAGTCTGGCTCCCTAATTGTTGAAAAGGCTTCAAACAGAGAATTATAGTGTCTAGAAGGACTGCTTTGGGATGTGCTACTTGCGGTAGTGTGTATCTTTGGGTAAACTTGGTGTTGTTTTGTTGGTATACAATCTTGCTCTTAGAGCAGTTCCAGACTTTACAGGCAAATACAATGACTGCTTTCTGACATTGCAGTAAAGTGGGATTTGTTTAAACCATGTTTTATTGTACAGACCCCAAGTCTACTAGATTAATCTCACAGATCACAGGGGGTTCATTAACCACAGTTAGCCTGCTGCTTGTCTCCTTTCCTACCTCCAACCTGGAACTGAGGAACACTGGAACACAGAACTGGGCAAACCTCTGAAACAAACTAACAAAAAAAATGGAATTAATGAAATCTGTTCATCCATACATGGGCTTGTATCAGTTTTTGACTTTTAAGTACCAAAGTATTCAAATAGTGCCCTTTGGGGAGGTATTGTTGCGTCAGAGCAGCCGTTTCCTTCCTGTTATTATTTATATCCATGTGGTTCTGCATGTTATCCTCATGAGAAGAGTCATAATATGGGAATAACAGTTACATAGGTGATGATAGGTAGTTTGCAGACTATTTGGGCAACTAAGATAGTGGTAACAGTTTTTGCTTCCACAATGTAATGCTGATGTCTTCACGTTCTCTGTGGTTCATTCTGAACCATTATTTGGATCTTCAAAGAGTAGCTGCTGTTACGATGGGATATATTTTTGCATCCAGATATTGAATTCATTTCAGAATCACACAAACACACACACACACACACATAAATGGTCTATGTTACATTATGTTTTTATGTATATGATGTATCTGCGGTGGCTCAAGTGGTTAAGACGCTGAACTGCAGGCTGTGGAAGGTCAGTAGTTCAGCAGTTCGAGACCCGAGTGTGCCGCATGACGAAGTGAGCTCCTGTCTCTAGTTCCAGCTCCTGCCAACCTACCAGTTCGAAAGCAAGAAATTGCAAGTAGATAAATAGGTACCACTTTGGTGGTAAGGTAGCAGCGTTTCGTGCGCCTTGGTGTTTAGTCATGCCAGCCACATGACCACGGAAATGTCTTCGGACAGCGCTGGCTCTTTGGCTTTGAAATGGAGATGAGCACCGCAACTCTAGAGTCGGATTCGACTGGCTTTCGAGCAAGGGAACCTTTACCTTTATATGATGTATATAGAAGTATCTTCATTTTTATTTTACTTATTTAAAACATTTGTATGCTCCCTTTCCCACCCAATTTGGGCCCTAAAGTTGGAGAACAATTAAGAAAGAATAAACATCAACTTTTAAAAATAGTATGTAGAAATGAAACTAACAATTAAAAACAAACAGAAAGGAGGGTCAGTAAG